GATCCACAGGGGTAACTGGACAATTAGAGACTCTTACCTTCAAGCAGAGAAATGGAGCAATGTGAGAGCTACCTGGACATTATTTAGCATTGCATATGAGAATAAAGACCCTTTTGGAGTCTTTTGATTTCCATCTCATTGTTATCAAAATAATTTAAGACCAGAGAACTGGCCTTCTTACATTCTGGTGGTCTTAAACTAGTTCCCCATGGCAGTTATTTTAAAATATAAACATATTTAAAAGAGTATGGGGAGCATAATTATAAGAGGTGGCCAAATTAAGCCATCAGGTATCTACTAAGCAAAAACTATGGTATACTAGACAGACCATGAAAAGGGATAATGTTTTGCGAGAAACCTTAGAGATCATAGTCTCTCATTCTTCTTTTCCCCAAATTATAAGAGAAAGTTTATTTAGAAATTTACAGGGGTAGTGGAAGTGAGCCAGCTGGGCTGTGTAGGCTCAGGAAACAAGTTACAGAGGCAGAGGAACCCTTTGAGGCAGAAGGGCCCTTTGAGCTTAGGAGTGAGAAAGGCAAGGACAATGTGCCCAGAGACACAGGAGGGGGAAGGGAAAGGCCTGGCACGATTCCTGGCTGGGTGGGAGAGGGCCTCCACACAGTGGCCCAGGCCAAGGCCTGGATCCCTGGGGAAGGAAACACCAGCAACTTTTGCCTTTCTTTTATCTCTCTCTCTCTTTTTTTCTTCTCATCTGGGGGTGGTGAAGAGGAGGGAACAGGAAAGCCTCAGGCGTGCTCCCAAGAAGAGAGTGCAGCAACTTTGGGGGGGGGAGCAAACAAAAACCCAAAACAAATTCTTTATTAAAACAGTCAACTTAAAACAGTATATGAAGTACTATATTTAAAGAATGAGATTTCTTTATTTGTACAGCAGACTTTTAAAGAAAGCAAATAGTTATATATAATTGGACATCTTTCCCTCTACTCTTTTATCAGTGTACCCCAGTTCATGATCCTATGCTTAGACTTCAGTTTGATTGCTCCTTTGTGATTTACCTACTTCCTTAAAATGCAGGATCAAAAAACCCCCCTTTAAACTTTCGACTAATTTGGTGTCAAAATGCCTCAGGTGTTCTCTTAAACTAGGAGATAATGAACTCCTCACCAGTACTGGAAGATTGCCTCTTTATCTTTCTCACCTTATTTCATTCTGTCTGTAGACGTGCCAGAAAGGAAAGTGATAGCACCCTAAAGCACATGTGTTTGCAATCTGTCTCTTTATATTCCTTTTTAACAGAAAAGCAAATTTGCATTTTCTCAGGACAGATTAAGAAATACCTCTCTCTTAATTAACTGAGATAACACTGGCATTTAAATTCAAAAGTACAGTTTACTAGCCCTGGCTGGTGTAGCTCAGTGGATTGCGCGCGGGCTGGGAACCAAAGTGTCCCAGGTTCGATTCCCAGCCAGGTTACATGCCTGGGTTGCAGGCCATAACCCCCAGCAACTGCACATTGATGTTTCTCTCTCTCTCTCTCTCTCTCTCCCTCCCTCCCTTCCCTCTCTAAGAATAAATAAATAAAATCTTTAAAAAAATAAATAAAAATAAATAAATTCAAAAGTACAGTTTATAGATGAACTATGTTCACTGATTTCTTTACCAATTGTTCTAATGTATAAACTTTGTTTAGATACAAACTGCTTTCTGGTATAGCAAAATAATCTAAATTTTATTTCCGAGAACAATATTTAATCATTAAAGTCACTTTATGACAGGGAAGTCACAGGAGAGGATTTCAGTGTGACCAGGAGCATTCTGGGATGGAGTCATGGAAAAGCAAGACTTGAATATGCGTAGGTGAAGGTCAGATTGATGGGGGTGGGGCGGGGGGTTGTTGAGGGGAGCAGATGAGTAATGGAGCCAGGCAAAGCTGAGGGCAGAGTGGGCATGGTAAGTTTGGATGATCATGGTAAGAGTATTTGAGATTGATTTGGAAAGGCCTGGGAAAATTTTGGGGTGAAGCATAAAATCAACTAAAATATATATATTAAGTGTTTCCTAAGTGCCAGACATTGCTATAGACACTATGGACGCAGCATTGAAGAGGACAAAGTTTTCTGCAGTCAAGAAACTTAATGTTTATGATATAATGGGGGACAGAAAATAACGATGTAAATATTGTAAAAGGTAATTTCAGAATGTGATGAAGTTTGATTGATTTATCTGATTGTGATAAAAGAGAATGAAACAAACCATAGTCAGAAGATTCTTCTAGGTAACATCAGAACAGGCATCCCCTGCATGTAAGTTTATTCTTTTACTAGTTTACATTTACATTATTAGTATTACATTTCATATGGCTTTCTTAGTAGAAATATTTTAAAGCCACTTGCCCGTTGCATGAAGTTTGGCTTAGTTAGCAATTTGTCTTATAATCTTTATAATCCTGGTTATAGTTTAGAATTAGCTGAAGAGGACTGCGCCCACATTAATAGCAACTCATTGTTGCAATGTGCACAAAGTGAGCGACTGAATGAGGCCACCGCCAGTCCTTCCCCGTTTGGGGCATTGGCACGTGACAGACGTGAGAGACGGCCGCCAGACAAAGGCATTCACTGAAGGTGCCAGTATCAACTGCTGGGTTCAGTAAATCTTCAGTTCTTTTTTTTTATTTGTTGAAGTGTTATATGTTACATATATTATGTTCAAATATGTTTTAATGTATTAAATGTTATAAATATTCTAATTTTATCCACCCATAGGGTGCGCACACCCTACTTTGGCAAGCACTGCACTAGAGGGTCTGGGAGGAGATGGCTATTTCACTAAAGGTGGTGAGGAAGGAGACTAAAGTGGTGTTTAAACTGAAACTCAAATGATGAGGTGGGAACAGCCACACAAAGAGGAGTATTTCAGGTACAGGTGTATCAGTTAGGGAAGCAGAGCCACTCTGAATATTATGGAAATAAAGTATTTACTACAGGAATCAGATCTTACAACAGATGAGGGGGGATCTCAAGGAGGGAAAGTCTGGAGGATAGTCAAGGGACTGGAGAAAGATTCACCAATGGAGCCATCAGAAGCACTGGTACAGCTGGATAAATAAAAGCTCTTGACAGACATCCAAGAAGCCACGCCTGTCTAGCCGCCAAATTGGGACTGCTAGGGGCCTGTGGGAAGCCACTGCTTCTTGGTAACCAGAGCCTCTGTGGGAACACTTCCAAGATCTGGTGGAGGGCCTGGGATTGTGGTTGGTCGTGAGGCCAACAGTCATGAAGACAAGGTGAACACAGAAGAGAGCAAAGGGGAGCTGGGATCCGTGGAGAACAAGGTGTCCATCACTATGTCTAATCAAGAGTAATGGCTGCTCCTTCACTTCTCTTTCATAAACTTCACACAAGTGTCTTTTTGGCTAAATCTAACCTAGGATTAATCACACAGGAAAGGGGATTCTGGGAAAGAGGTCCCAGCTTAACCAAGTGAATATATAGCACAACCCTGCACAAGAGGGAACAGCATATGCAAAGGCCCTGAGAAGGAAATGAACTCAGTGTGTTTGAGAGACAGAAAGGTGAGGCTGGGGCTCAATAAACGAGGGGGAGAGAAGGGGCATGGTCAGAGAAGCAGGCACAGCTTAACTCATATATGGCTTGGTAGGCCATGGTATGGTTGATGTCATTCTAAATTACTTTAAAAATAAATTTTTTAATTAATTAATTTTGTAGAGAGAGAAGAAGGGAGGGAAAAAGAAAGGATGAGAAACATCAATGTGAGAGAGAAACTTCGATCAATTGTGCCCTTACTGGAGACTAAATGCACAACCGAGGCATGTGCCCAGACCAGGAATCAAACTGGCAACCTTTTGCTTTGCAGGGTGTTGCCCAACAAACTAAGCCACACCAGCCAGGGCTAAATTACTGAATTTTAAGCAAGGTGGTAGTGTCCTATGAGTTATTCTTTGGAAAGAGCATTCTAACTGTCATGAATGGTGAGGAAGGAAGATGAAAGTTGAAGAAAGGGAGCAGCAGGGAAAATAGGAGGCTGTCATACAGCCTCAGAAAGAGAAACTGATGGCCTGGATTTGAAGTATAAAAATATAGATATGGAGAACTGGTCTGTCAGGCTGTTAGTCTCCTTTCTCCTACATACTATTTTTTTCAGTCCTAGAAATGCCTTTCGCTGCAAGGAAGGGGCAGCACAGGTAAACAGTCAAGGGTAGAACTGACACTCAGCACTTTGTGCGCACCGAGATCTGCACTGGGTCAGTTTCTCACCACAGCCCTGAGCGAGGACACTGATGCACAGGAATGTTGAACAGCCTATGTGAACCAAGGTCACACCGCTAATAGGTGGTGGGCTTTTGACCTTAACCCAGATATCAGAATCCAGAATCCTAGCTCTTCCCACAGCATTCTGCTGTTTTTCGGGTTAAGGCCCTTGTAGGTAGTCATGTCCACAATCAGCAGCTGCCACCTGCCCAAACATCTGGCTTCAAATGTACCAGGCTGATACTCTCTGCCCACCCCCATCCTTCTTAGAGGCCATACTGCATACCTCCAGCCCAAATTTCCTGCACTCTTATGCTTAAATCTCCACCATAATTACTTAAGGTCTTATAATATTTGAACATTTATACTTTTAGAATATGTAAAAGGGGACATTTTTTGTTTGTTCCCTGGGTATATATCTCATTGTAATTGAATTATCCTTCTGTATTAGAAAATAAATTTCATGCCACATAAACACTTATAACTCAATGTTGTTATAAGGCATTGCTTTCACATTTTCCGTAGACTTTTTTTCAGTCCCCAAAGAGCCTTTTAAAGGGCTTCTATGTCAGATGGGAGTAAAGGACAGAAAACTGTACTTGGACAATGATTAAAATAAAATAAAAAAAATAAAATAAAGGGCTTCTATGTCCTTATCTTAATTACACCTTATTTGAGATGAAAGCAAATGAATAAAGACATGTGAGAATTACTGTTAAGCATGTCATAGTTGAGGTGTGTGTTCAAGACAATAAAAAAAGTCAAGATTTGTTTTCTGCGTAACGATTTATTTATTGATTCTACTGTCTTAACAAAGAAACTATTTCAGAGTACAAGGTATATATGGTACTACTGCTTTGAACTTAATTATTTGCTTAGCGAGTATACATATATAGATGGTGAATGATTATCATTTTTATATATGTCATAATATGTGGTTTCTGGTTATGAGCTATATACACTGTCCACTTTACCTGTGACATGCATGGTAACTGGGTCACAGACTCTCAAATTAGGGGCCATTTAAAATTTTCAGGGAAGTTACATGAAAAAAGCTAGAGTTTCAGGATTAGCTAAGATGCTGTGTGGGCGGGATCACCACTAGCCAGCACTGAAAATCATCTGCAATGTAAGAAGTAACAAAACTTGGGAAAGTAGGTATATGTTTAAATTCTGACCAAAGACTTCCTGTCCTACACAGTTCACTGAAGCTCCTCTTTAAGAGTTTCTGAGGCCTGTAGAGGTTAAGTGGATACCACCAGCCATGTCTCCACTAACAGGATGTGCTGCTCCCTCTAGCTCTTGGTATCTTAAAACTTCCTTTCTTCATGAGACCTGGGGAGGTCATCGATAATCACTATACTTTACAAACTCTGGAAAAAGTTTAAAGACGTTTAAGGACAATGATATCCATATTTACTTACAATGAGTTTTCAAAAGGATGTTGGTGGCTTTCTTGTCAGATCACAGAAAACCGAGGCTTGTCAGGAATGGTGCTGAAGGAAGTTTTGTGGGGGGAAGTGGGGAAGGAAGGACACTGGTTGATTTCTAAAGCCCTTTGGAAGAGTCTCATTGTATGCTTCTATCATTCTAGCTTCCTTGTATATTTAATGAAAACACTTCAGAATATCCACAAATATTTAAACATTCCCTTCTAATCTGCTGAAGAGGACAAATTACATCCTGTCGTAATAAGACAAGGATATTGCATCATCCCTGGGGGTGCAGGGACAGAGGTGGGAAGATAATGCCTAAAAGAAGTTACCAGGGATTACTCAATATCAAGTAGCCTAGATAGCCAGCTCCTGCTCTGAAAGATGGTCTGGTTGTCCTCCTACTTGTAACATCTGCAACTAGGAAATTATTCAAAACCTGGTTCTACAGTATATGAGGCACAGTGGCAGTTTCAGGGAAATAAAGTGTGGCCCCTGTCCTTAAGGAGCTGACAGTCTGGTTGGAGAGCTAGATTAACACAAAAAACAATTCAAAATAATTAAGAGCACAAGTGAAATAAGAGTTTTAAGATAATCCAAGTGCCCGGGAGGTTTCATTTAAGAGTCAGGACCGAACTGAATCTTGAAGCCTGGGTCAAGTGAAGATGAGTGGTGAGAAGACGGCAGGCCTGTGGGGTGCTGGGGAAAGAATGAGAGCTGCGACCCAGGTCAGCAAGATTATGGCCTGCGTAGCAGAGGAGGTAGGCACTGAACTGGGGTAGAACAGGGAGGAACTGGCTTGACTGAGGCAAAAGGGAACAACAGAAATAACGTGGTCAGCCTGGGCAGGCAAGATGGAGTCACATGGCCTCAAGAGCGAGATAGAAGACTGTGAAAGTGAAGTGCTAGTGTTCACCAGTGGTGGTCCCCAGAAAAAAAGAAACAGCATTTATCTCTCAGATACATTGCATGTGAGGCCTGTAGGCTGATTCAAATACAGGTGCCGATGGCCAGGGCAGCTTGGCGAGGCCCAGCTCAATTCCAAACTACTTGGCTTATCAGCATGCTAACAAGCTGGGCTTGCTGGCCTACCTCAGAATACTCTCTGCAGACTGCAGGCTGTCTTGGAAGCATAGGGCTGCTGTCCCAGCAGCTGTTGAGTGTTGGATGTGTTCGTGTGGGAATTGTCCACATGTGGGTGTTACTAAGATCATGTTCTTAAGCATGATGAAATTCAGCTGGTTGTAGGTGGAAGACTAAAGACAAACAATAACCTCCAGCAATTCTTAACATTGGGATTTTAAAAGCCACTTTCTAGCTTTAATTACAATTTTATCATGATGCTTTAAAATCTTTAGACAGATAAGCAAGCTTATGGATTAAGGGGCCAACCTCTACTGGAATTATTTTAGTATAATGAAAAAGAACCTTTTTAACACAAAATGCTTGTTGGTAAAGTGGTTGCTTATGTAGTCTTCTTTTGAGGACATTGAGATCTTTTAACTTTTTTGAAATTTCCTGCTTTTTTTGATGTTTTTCCATTTCTTTTGCTTTTTCTTTTGGCTGGCCTGCAAAGAGAGGAGGGAAAAAGGGCAACGTTTCTTCGTCTTACCGTTTTCCGTTTCTTATACGATATTTGAACTCTCCAGACTGTGGTCCTTCTTTATCCTCAGAACCACTTTAAAGTCACTCCACTCTCGAAGGGGCTCCTCTTGAGTCTCTCTTCTTTACCCACTTTGAGGAGGAGGTGAAGTCCTCCAGTTGGTCTTCTTTTGACCACTCTCCTAGTTTATTACTACCCTCACTCCAACCTTGCTTATGGCCTAACTGTCCCAAGTACAACCTTCTGAGGTTAGTACTATTATCATCCACTTTTCTCTTATGGGGAGACTGAGGCTTGGAGAGAGTGACTTGACCAAAGTTGCATAGCTAGTATTTGGCAGTACCACTAGCCTGTCAGACTCCGGAAGCCACATTCCACGCTACATATTCTGTGGCCCTCTTCAAACATAACACTTCAGAGTGTCATACAGTATTCTTCCCACTTGGTCCCGGTCTACCTTTTAACCTCAATTTCTTAATTCCTCCCCTACAAACTCCATATAAACCCGAGGTTCCCTGAACATGGAAAGCTGTCTCATGATTTTATTCTTTCTTTCATGATATTCTTACCCTCCTGGTGAACTGCTTAACCTTCAAGACCCAAATCAAATGTTACCTGGTATAAAAACTCTTCCTTAATAATTTCTCCTTGTCCCTTTCTCCAGCAAAATTAATTATGCCTTCTTCTATAATCTTCAAGGTTCTTGTACATATTTTTATTTTATATTTCACACACTGTGCTTTAATCTCTTATTTAATATATATTTAATATATAATATATATATTTAGAGACAGAGATAAAATAAATAAATATATATTTATATATATCTAGAGACAGAGAGAGAGATTTGTTGTTCCACCTAGTTATGCATTCATTGGTTGATTCTTGTATGTGCCCTAACTGGGGATTAAACCCATAACCTTGGCATATTGGGTTGATGCTTCAACAATGGAGACACCTGGCCAAGGCCACATTGTACTTTAATTTATCATTAGAATATTTGCTACAGTAGGAAAGTATATATCTTATTACCTTTCTATCCTCAGTAGACTACTGTTTAATTCAATACATATTTATTGTGTTGAGTAAGAAAGATAAGCTCCCTACCCTCATGGAACCTACATTCTAGTGGCGTGATAGACAAGAGATACTCTCTGCAGGAATATAACTATACCTCAAGTGAGGACATCATTCTAGGGACAAAATAGGAGGAGCACAATAATATAAATTTTTAAAATGTACCCTTAAAAGAACTACACAGACTCTTTGTCTTCCAGTTAATTTTTAAGAGAAAGAACATTTTGTTCCTACATTTTACCAACCTGTTTCTCCCACACTTCAATCAATTTTTTCACACTTCTTGAATTTGAGTTTAGACACATTTGCTTCCCATTCTTCATTGTAGCACTGCCAAAGAAATAGCAACAAGATATCTTAAAAAATTTTTAATAGTTTAAGTGCTTCCCCAATTAGAGTGTACTTACGGCTTTACTATAAGTATCTGAGACTTCCAGTCTTTTTTCCTGCCTTTTCTTTTCTTTTTATTATTGACAATAATTACAGATGTCCCCTATTTCCCTCTACCTTTACCCACCTCCACCTAGCCCCCGCCCCCCACCTCCCCTGGACTTCACCACACTATTGTCTGTCCACGAGCTAGGCATATATATATTCTTTGACTAATCCCTCCACCTGCCCTTTCATTTTCTAAATGAGTGAAGGGACATAGATAAATTTCTAGGATAGTACATAACCATAAATTTTAAAAATCCAACAGGTATATGCAATGGGAGAAATTCATATCTAAAGATGATATTGGTTCTTTTGTTCTGGAAATAGCTATTTATGCTTAACTGAAGAAGCAAAATAAAATACCTACTTTTTTTCAAAAACAATAAAAATCAGCATGAATTTTGCCAAATTTTCTAATGAAACTATTTAAAACATAATAAAATGTTATTTTAAAACAAGATTAACAGACTGGTTGGATTTTTTTAAGTCACACAGCACACTCTCCAGGAAAAATATAAAGATTGTTTTCTTTAATTTTTCAGCACACTCTGAGACTAAGAGTAGCCATTCTCCATATCATCCTTGATTTAGGCTTCGAAAGACTTAAAGTATGCACATACTTTAACAAGAAATTCTACTAGAAAGGCATTATTATTAGGAAGGCATTATTCTACTAGAAAGGCATTATTATTAGGAAAGAATTTAAGACACAATATTGCCATAATGAGTTTAATTTCAATAGCAAAAAACTGGAAGTAACCTACATTTGGGCATTGATCATACAGATTATGGTACATCCATATGCTGGAATATAATTGGGCCTTTACAAGTGATATTATTAGAAAAAGATGATATTATTACAGAAGATTTACTGACATGAAGAAATGTTCATGATATAGTGTTAATGAAAAAACCAATTACAAACAGTATGTAGTGTATGATTTTATTTGTGTACATACATTGTATTTATATATTATATATATACACACACACTTTGTGTTTATGGATGTACACACAAAGCAAATGTGAGAGATCTGGAAAACTACATATCAAGGAGTTAACAGTATTTGTCACTGGATGAAAGAATTATAAATATTTATTTTCTTCTTTTGGGTTATTGGCATTAAACATTTTGTACAATGAACATGTATTATTTTTGTACTATGTAAACATTTGTTCTTAATCTCTACCCACAATTACTTAGTTTTTGTTTTTTTTTTTAATAAAGAAGTAGGTCAGATTTACAGAGAAGCAACCATCTGAGTTTTAAGTGTATGAACAAGCATTCTGAGGGTAACAATCACAATCAATTTAATGTTTCTGCCAATATGATGCATGCACGTTGGATGAGATTTTACTTACATGATTTCAGTGTTATCACAAGAAAGGCTTGGGGGAAACTGTTGAAGGTCCTTTAAGGATTTTAAGTGGATCATCCCTTGTTTTGTGTTGATGCAGGAACAGCGTCTGGTCCTTATCGGAGATCCTAAGGGAAAGAGAATGGGTAGCACACACTGGTGTAGGGCAATGTCTCAACTTCGGTGATCCACCAAAATTACGTATTTGACTTATTCATGGTTATTACTATCATTTAGTGTCTAATAAACATGGCCACAAACTTTTGAAGTAAATATTACCTCCATGATATAAACAAAAAGCTAAAGTTCAAATAAGTTAAGAACAAAGTCATTCAGCTTTTAGGGGGCAGATACAGACTTTGAGTCTGACGGCATTGCTCTTAACTACCACACTATACAACTGTAGGAAAAAAGATGTTCACAATATTTAAGAAATGCCTATCACAGGCCAGACACACAGATACCTAATTCATGTGTGCTATATGGAACACAGTTTCCTAAACATTTCCCAAAGCCATGTACTATGTGACCTTAGTAGAATACAGTTGGTGTTGGTTTGGGCAGAAAGCTCTATGTATAATAACCAGTTATCACCACCATCATAATCCTCCCCACTGCCTCGCTTTTTAATAGTACTTTAAACTTTTGGAAATTATTTAAAATACACTATCTTCATTCCTTTTTTTAAATAGATTTGACAGACAGAGAAAGACAGGAAGGGAGAGAGAGAGAGAAAGAGAGAAAGAGAAAGAGAAAGAAAGAAAGAAAGAAAGAAAGAAAGAAAGAAAGAAACAGAAAGAAAGGAAAAGAAAGAAAGGAAAAGAAATAAATTTATTACATTTATTTATGTACTCATTGGCTGGTTCTTGTATGTCCCCTGATCAGGGATCAATCCTGCAACCTTGGCCCATTGAGATGATGCTCTAACCAGTTGAGCTACCCAGCTAGGACTCTCTTCATTTCTTAATTCTTTTTTTTAATTTTTAAAAATATGTTTATTAATTTAAGAGAGAGAGAAACATTGATGTGAGAGAGAAACATTGATTAGTTGTCTCTTACACAAACCCCAACCAGCACCCTGGTTGGCGCTGTGACTGTGGATAGAACCCACAACCTAGGTATCTGCCCTGACCAGGAATAAAACCCCCAACCTTTTGGTGTACAGGACAACACTCCAACCAACTGAGCCATGCCAGCAAGGGTTTAATTTCTTCTTCATATATACATATATATGATATATAAGAATTATATAATAGTAAGAATTATATAATATATGAATTATTATATAGAAATATATACATATTTACTCAGTGCTTACTAAATGCCATACATCATGAGATAGGTAGAAAAAGCAACTATAAAATCTCCATTTTACAGCTGATGGAATTTAAATGTAGAAAAGTTCACTAATTTGCTCAAAGTAACAAAGATAGACAGTAAACAGATTAGGAAATTTTTTCTGATTATTGGATCTTTAATTGGTTAAGCACAGACACTCACAACATGCCAGGAATTCACACACTAAGACTGAGAAGATTTTTTAAATTTGGAAAGTCTAAGATATGAACTTTGTATAATATATAACAACACTGAGAAGGTTTATGAGTGACTCATGTCACTTGCTGATGCAAAAAAGCAATCACCTCTACTATACAAATCAAGAGGCTTTTATAGCAGTTTAAATCTCTGACTTTACTAATCTAACATAACTCAGAACTCCTCACCTTGAACTCCAATCAGAATCAGGAAGGTGAAACCCAAAAGCAGAAGAGCACCACTTTTCTTCATGGTGGTAGAAGGAAGTTCTACTGAGTCAGTCCTCGATTGGATTTCAAGCCTGAGAAATTCTTTAGGGAACATGCTCTTGGGAATCATATTTATTTAGGAAATACTTTTCCCTCCTAAACTCTGATTGGCTGGTATTCATAGCTGATTTATGCTGATCGAAACTGTTCTGCTGGGGGAAACCCTACTCTCAGATCCAAGGGAATTTCTGCATGCTTTACTTCCATTTCACATAAATGGATGGCTTATAGTAAGGGATGTGAAACTAGTTATCACTGGCAGCCTCAGTATACACACAGCTGCTCACCTGGGTGAAGAATAGGTTATATAATGACTACAACAATATCAAAAAACAAGAGTTGGAGATGTGTTTTCCAGATGGGAAATATCAAAGTCCAGATAAGTAATGCACCTTTCAAATTTCCTTACTATTTACATAATACATGGCTTTATTTATGTTTTCTTAATCTACTGTGATAAATTAAAAGGCATCTTAATCTCTCAGGACCAGACCATTTTTTACGGTGGTAAGCTCATTTTGTTATTTATGCCATTTATGCTATTTAATTATTATTACTATTATTATTAGAATAGTAGTATATTTTATTGATTATGCTATTACACTTGTCCCATTTTTTTCTCCTCTTTATCACCCTCTGCACTGCAACCCTGATGGGTTAAAGAAATATTAAGAATCCCCCCTGTTTATGCCTGAGCCGTGAACTTTTATTGTAAGAATGAAAAATAGGTGTGCTGTCTTTCAGGGAGAACTAGCCCTTCTCAATGGAAAACGAAGCACCATTAATTTTTAACTCAGTAGCTGTAAACTCTGATCGTTCCCTTGGGGAAGAACTGGCTATTCTCCTGAAGGGAACAGTTAGTCAATCAAGTCAGGAAAGGTCCTTGGCATGTAGCCAATTCTGTCTAAAACATATTTAACCAGAGCCCCCAAAGTGAGACTTTGGAATCCCACCTGAGAGAAGGATGCTTCGCTTAGAACTTTTCCCAGACAAACCCTGAATGCTGCTCTCTCCAGGATTCCCTACTGTCTGTACTCAGGTGTTGGTGATTTCCTGTCTGGTGATGTATGCTCTTGATTCTTGCTTTTTCTTTGCTCTTGCTTAATAAGTTGCTTAACTATTCACCTTTGACTTGGGGTTTTTATTGTCTGCTAATCCAAACCTCCAAATTAAGTGGCCATGATCTCATATGTGCCCCTTAAAAGCACAACCCCCTTCATCCTCTAGCACCCCCTGCCTTAGTTCATATGCATATGTCATACATATATGTTCTTTGGCTTCTCCATTTCCTACACTATTCTTAACCAACCCCTGTCTATTTTGTACCTACCATTTATACTTCTGATTCCTTGTACGTTTTCCTCCACTCTCTCCCCCCCCACACTGATAACACTCGATGTAATCTCCATTTTTGTGATTCTGCTCCTGTTCTAGTTGTTTGCTTAGTTTCCTTTTGTTTTATAGGTTCAGTTGTTGATAGTTGTGAGTTTCTTGTTATTTTGCTGTTCATATTTCTTATATTCTTTTTCTTAAATAAGTCCCTTTAATCTTTTATATATAAGGGCTGGGTGATGATGAACTCCTTTAACTTTATCTTGTCTGGGAAGCACTTTATCTGCCCTTCCATTCTAAATGATAGCTTTGCTGGATAGAGTAATCTTGGATGTAGATCCTTGCCTTTCATGACTTTGAATAGTTCTTTCCAGCCTCTTCTTGCCTGTAAGGTTTCTTTTGAGAACTCAGTGGATAGTCTTATGGGAGTTCTTTTGTAGGTAATACCCTCCTTTTTCTTACTGCTTTTAAGACTCCTTATCTTTAATCTTGGGTAATGTAATTATGATGTGTCTTGGTGTGGCCCTCTGTGGGTCTGACTTCTTTGGGACTCTCTGAGCTTCCTGGACTTGCATGTCTATTTCCTTCACCAGATTGGGGAAGTTTTCCTTCATTATTTTTTCAAATAAGTTTTCAATTTCTTGCTCTTGTTCTTCTCCTTCTCGTTCCCCTATGATTCAGATGTTGGAACATTTAAAGTTGTCTCCAAGGTTCCTCAGCCTCTCCTCACTTTTTTTTTAATTCTTGTTTCTTCACTGTCTTGGTTGAATGTTTATTTCTTCCTTCTGCTCGAAATTGTTGATTTGAGTCCTGGTTTCCTTTCCTTAACAGCTGACTTCCTGTATATTTTTCTTTATTTCACTTTGCATAGCCTTCACTTCTTCCTTTATTTTGTGTCTGTACTCAGTCATTTCTGTGAGTATCCTGATTACCAGTGTTTTGAACACTGCATCTGATAGGTTGGTTATCTCCTTTTTGCTTCATTCTTTTTCTGGATTTTTGATCTGCTCTTTCATTTGAGCCATATTTTTTTTTTTTGTCTCAGTGCACTTGTTATGTTGTAATGTGTGGAGTCTTAGGTATTCACCAGGGTGGGGCAACCCACTTCACTGCATGGTAACACTGAATGTGAGGGAGAGATCAGAGATGATGCTTGCATGGCTCTCAGCTGCTTTCAGTCACTTCCCCTACCACTCACAACTGAATTGGGCCCTTCTGGTGATGATTCCCTGGGTAGGTGGGTTTGTGTAGGACCCCATGGGTCCTTCCAATGGACTTTCCTGTGAGACTGGCAGTTTCTCCTGCCACCACAACCCCCACAGGTTTTTACAGCCAGAGGTTTTGAGGCTTTGTTTCCTCACACTGGAACCCTGGGTTATGTGGTTTGTCTCACTCCCCAGTTGTTCTTCCTGGTTTATCCACACGTGAATTTGGGTGCTCCTGGTCCACCATCCGCTGCCTTGCCACACATTCTTTCCACTGTGGCTGCCATCTCCTCCCCTCCTACCAGTCTGGATGAATGGTTCTTCTTTAACTCTTTGTTTGTCAGACTCCCATACAGTTCAATTTTGTGGTAGTTCTGGTTTTTTTATTATTATTATTTTTAAATATATATTTTTAATTTATTTTTGGAGAGAGGGAAAAGGAGAGAGAAAGAGAGGTAAAACAACATCAGTGCGTGGTTACCGCTCACACACCCCCTACTGGGGACCTGGTCCACAACCCAGGCATGTGCCCTGACTAGGAATCAAACCAGCAATCCTTTGGTTTGCAGGCCAACACTCAATGCACTGAGCCACACCAGCCAGGGCTGTTTCTTCTTTTCAAATGGTTTGTTGTCCTTCTTTTGGTTGTGTGAGGAAGCAAAGCATATCTACCTATGGCTACATTTTGACTGGAAGCCTAGTTTATTATTATTTTTAATGATTAGTTAGAACAAGGGACTAGTTGAAAAACAGACAAATGGGACTACATCAAACTTAAAAACTTCTTTGCAATGAAGAAAACAATCAACAGGTTGAAAAAACAACCTATGGAATGGGAGAAAATACCTGCAAAACATATATCTGATAAGGAGTTAATATCCAGAATATAAAATGAAATTCTACAACACAGCAACAACAACAAAAAAACAATTACAAGTTGGGCAAAGACTTGAATAGACACTTCTCTATAGAAGATATACAAATGGACAATAGGCACATGAAAAAATGCTCAATATTACAATCATGAAAGAGTAAGAAATTTAAATCAAATCCACAATGATACATCACCTCATGCTCATTAGGATGCCACTCTCAAAAAAAATAGAAAATAAGAATTGTTGGTGAATATGTGGAGAAATTGGAACCTTTGTGCACTATTAGTGGGAACATAAAATAGTGCAACCATTATGGAAAAGAATATAGAGGCTCCTCAAAACATTAAAAATAGAACAACCGTATGATCCAGCAATTCCACTTCTGGGAATAGGTCCACAATAATTCAAAGAAGGATCTCAGATATTTGCACACCCATGTTCATGGTAGCATATTATTTGCAAGAGCCTTGTTTGAAAAGGTGAAGTGATTCAAATGTCCACTGACAGATGAATGGATGAAGAAGATGTGGTATATACATGCAATGGAATTTTATGCAACTTTTAAAAAGAAGGAAATTTTGTTCCATGCTACAACATGGATGAACCTCGAGGAGGTTATGCTAAGTGAAATAAGCTAGTCACAAAAGGACAAATATTCATCTGAAATATATAAAATCAAATTTTGGAAACAGAAAGTAGAAAGGTGGTCGCCTAGGGTAGGGGGAAAGGGTGAGGCAAAATTAGTCTCTAGTGGGTATAGAGTTATAGTGCTGCAAAATGAAAAAGTTTTAGAGGTCTGTTGTACAACAATGTGAAGATACTTAAGATGACTGAACTGTATACTTAGAAATGGTTAACTTCTGGTCAAGATGGTGGTATGGGCAGACATGGCTCACCTCTTTACACAACCACAACCAAATTGAAGCTGAAATGTAGAGTGGCCATAACTCAGAACCAACAGAAATTGAGTTGAATGGAAGTCTGAGAAATATGGAATTAAAGAAACCACATCCATCCACACTGGTAGGAGGGGTGCAGATGTGGAACATGTGGTGGATGAAAATTCAAGAGGGATATCTCAGGAACAAGGAGTCCCAGCCCCACACCAGGCTGCCCAGCCAAGGATTCCAGCACCAGGAAGATAAGTCCTCACAATTGCTGGTTGCAAAAACCAATGGGGATTGAGTCAGTGGAGGAAACTGCTGGAGCCCCTAGCAGTTCCTTTTAAAGAACCCACACATGGATTCACCTACTAAGACTCACTACCTTTGGGCTCCAGTGACGGTGTGGTGGCTTGAGGGGCACCATTGGTATACAGGGGGAGGCTGAAGCGTCAGGCATCAAGGCAAGCAGAGGCCATTGTCCCTTTTCTGGGCCCTTCCCTCACAGAGCCGGCAAACTGGTGCCATATCTGAGATTCCGTCAACCTGGCTAGCACTGTTTGACCGACCTTGGAGATCCCCAGAGACTCAGCCCCACCCAATTTACGGGTCCACCCAAGATGGTTCTCCACATGAATGGTCTTGGCTCAAGCTTCACAACTTCCTAAATCCTCTCAAACAAGCAGCAGCTGGCCTCAGTGAGCCCCAAGCCTGGAACTAGCAGTCTAGATTCACAGG